GGGAGAGGGAGAGGGAGAGGGAGAGGGAGAGCTCAATAGTAAAGAATATAAACTATTCTTGCAAAGAACCCAAGCTTTATCTCTAGCTCCCACATAGAGCAGCACACAACCCCCTGTAATTCCAACTCCAGGTGATCTGAAGCCTCTGGTCTCTGTGGGCAGCTGCACCCATGTGCACATACCTACACACACACACACACACACACACACACACACACACACACTCAACTACAAAGTAATTAAAATACAAAGTAGATTAAAAAAAATACTCAGAGTACTTAAAAAGTCACCCCAAGCACATTTACTTCTACTGGGAATATACCATGTGTATACCTCCTAATAACATACACTAGACAGAGCCACGCTCCCCTTGGAACAGGGACCAGGGCTCTGCAAAAGCCGGACCTTAATTGATGTATCCTTACAACATTACTCAGCTCACTAGCTAACTTGTGGAATAAATTGCACTTCTTAGTTAGTGAAATTAAAATTATTTATTCATCTTCGATGTGTCTTATTTCAATATTTATTTGGATAATATGAAACAGGTAAGTTTTTAAGGCAGGATAAATCTGTAGGAGTAAATGTATATTTCCAGTCATCAAGACCACCCTTCTACCACACTTCCAGTACTTGCCTCGCTAAGTCCTATATCACTGAAACTGCTCAGCTAATAGCTACAAGACAAGAAAACTCAAAACAGAATTAAAAATAGAAAAATGGTACTTGGATTTCTTTTCTATTGGTGAGAGGTAGAGAGGTCAGAGAAAATACAATGAGTGGAAATTCTATAACAGAAAAAAATATGTAAAGGGAAGTCATGAGCTCTAAATTAGAAAGAATAGTTAAATAATAAGCAATAAGAAAGGCTGTTTTGTAAAACTAACTAGATTAGAAGTAGAGTGGGGGAGGGGAGAGAGAGAGAGAGAGAGAGAGAGAGAGAGACAGACAGACAGACAGACAGACAGACATAGGAAGAAAGAGAAATTATTTCTGCCTATTAAAGAATGAGGCAAACATTTACAATGTCTACAACAGAATTCAAGAAATAGACACATAAGCAAGAAAAAATGGTTAGATTAGCAATCTGTTTATATAATGATATTTTCCCATACTGCTTTTAAAATGATCATCTATTTGAATTTGCCTGGCACAATCTTTGCAGCTAATTAATCACCAAGGAGGTATTTATGGAGTAAAAGAACAATGATTCCACACAATATTTCATACAAGATTTAGATTTTCATGTTTTAACCATAAGTAAACATGTGTTAGGTTGCTGCTACACTGGAACACTTAGAATGCATAAAATAAACAAACAAGTGTTTGTATTCTAATGAGGAAATACACCAAATAGAACTGAAATTACTGAAAGGATTTGTCTAAGCTTACTACTAGTCATTTTTAAAAATATTAGTTAGATGTCTTCTTAGGGTATTGTTAGGTACCTATTTCCTCTGAATTGACATACACCATCTTCCAGAAGAAGACAAGTCTCCTAAGACTCAGAAAGCTTACAAAACTTAAAAGGTTCAGCAAGTTGCAAGACTCATAAAGCCACTCCCACCGCCTATAAAAACAGTGGGAATCTGTCTGGGAGAGGAGCCTTCCTCCAGTGGAACTGATTGTATGTTTTACAGTAAGCTCCAGCACAGAACTTTCTCAGTTACAGCGGGGTGGACTTATCTGTGATACAGCTGCCTCTGAGTCACACGGGCCTGTAAATAACTCCAATAAACTCACTGGTTCACTGGTTCAAGCATGAGTTGGGTGGAACCTTTTCTTTGGTGTTTCACTGATGACCTATCTTATGTGATCAATGTTTGTTCAAGTCTCATCAAGCAAAGTCACACTACAGAACTGGCACTCAAACAGGGACTACCAGAATTTACGGGACATTGGGTGTGCGGAGAGTAGTTACACAGTCTCTGTAATGGGGACTCTTACAGTATCTGTCCTCTATTTTGAATGGTGTGACATACTTCTTTAATGAAGAGGGACTATGGAGATGCTCCCCAAATAGCTAGTGAACTTAACAATACATTGCAATTTCTGAAAGAAGCACATATGAACCACGATCACAAGCAGGCTGTTGCCTGCCCTTTGCTTTGGGCTATAAAACATCCAAGTGAGTCTGAGCTGTTTACTTAGAAAGAACCTGCTCTCAGAAGAGAGGAATTGCAATGAGAAAAGACACAAGTAGAAAAATGGAAGATGGGATGGATGGCTTGTAGCTGGCAGGATACAAGGGAAAAAGTAAAAGAGCATATAATTTGTTTAGACCAACAAGAATTCCAACAACAGATAATTTGTTCACATTTTCTTCAAGAGAACTCACACAACCAATACAGTTCCATCAAATAATTCACTGAATAGCCCAGAGCCGAATGGAGTATGTGGGACCCATCAAATTCAATATGTAAGTATTTCTGTACATTCCTGCAATTGGAAACAGTTATTTGACCATATTGCAGCATTGGCATTTGTGACTTGAAGTGAGTCTAGCCAAACATACTCAGTTACAGTTATCTGAGATTCTAGACTTAAGTTTAGGTCACATCTAAACTCTCTGTGATTTTCCTTCCTGTTGGAGTCTGCTAGTCCTCAGGGAGGAAGCATACAAAAGTTAAGCTAGACAAACAAGTGGGCCTGGGGGGGGTGTGACTGTCCATAAACAGGTGGTGCCGAAGAATGACACAAGGGAGTTCAGGGAAGACAACTACAATGACCTGCATCTGGATAACGGGTGGGTCATACACGTTATAATACTATCAGAACACTACCATTCTAAAACACAATAGAGTGCCTCATGGGCACCCATTATTACTAGCTCTGGGCTGATACCCATTTTATTTAGCATTACGTGTTTTTAAAAGGAAACATACTCACACACTACATTATTTCTGAAGGCTCTACAATTTACGTGCCCTTTTCATGTCAAAACACTCGCCTGTTTCTACTGTCCAAATTTAGTGACTGGAGAGCACGTTCCTAATTTATCAACTTTCTTTAATTGGTGAATGTCTGTGACTGTTCTCAGCTTGTAGTGCACCCTACTCCACTCTCCTCCAGGTTATGAACTAAACGACTGGGAAGTATGAAAACCTTTAGCCTAGGTTTTACGGATTTAACTTTCCTTAGCCAGTGTCTGGTCCATTTTACAATAAAATTAAGTAATGGACTATGTTTTCCCTTTTAGTCCCTAAAATTATACTATAAAGTTTCCTCGATGTCTGCACAAATCTGCTCACTATCACAACTGCTGTTCATCTTTTTTTACTTGTCACAGATACAACAGAGGAGAAAAATTAATGCTTCGTTGGATGCTTTATGGTTGCCATGCCCCACTATTATATAGATGTTGTTCCAGGCTTTACTTCTGACGATGTAGAGATGAAAGAAATAACACTGAACAGTAAAATTCTCTACTGGGTCACATATGAATGCAGACATAGGGGGATTTTGAAAAATCATACTAAATCTATGATGCAATTAATACCTGGCATGAAAGCAATAAAAGCTTAATATTTTGCTTTTCAATAACAGGACTTCCCTATATGAGGAGATGAACATACCTAACATGAATTTTTCTAAGTATTCTCTTTAATATATAAAGCATTTTATAGACAATATTTCTTTGTTTCTTCCTCTCATAAGGCTTAGATTGTGGTTAATATCTCATGACACCAAAACTAATACTGCCAAAGATATTAAAGCATTTTTTCAGCCACTTATTCTATAAAATATTAATTGCAAGCCTGTGCATGTGCTGTGTATATAGGGGAGTGGGTCTAAATCAATAAAAGGTAGCATGCAGAGCATCAGTCATTATCCTCTCTCTCCCTTTAGCACACGGTACCTGCAGGTGGAAGACCGAAAATGCTCATCTTTAAGTACCCATGAAGACACTTAAGGCAGAGGGCTGGAGCAACACTTACCTAGGAAGGACAGGTTTTTCTTCAGAAGCAAGTCTCTCAGCAGGACCTCATGCTCATAGCCAATAGCACTAAACATTTCAGTTAAGGAGGCAAAACACATAGAGGGGCTTAACAGTAAAATTCTAATACCAACTATATATTAATACTATACTCTATTAACAATAATATATGTTGAGATCAAATGAAGAATTATGGTAATTATACACAAGACTTCCAACCCAGATTACGCCTCTGAGGAAGGAAATTTCTGTATGTATTCTTCCCTCATTTAAGTAAATCAGAAGAATTTTTTTTATAACACATACCTTGGCAAGCAATGATTTATAAATCATTGTGACTTTAATTTCTTTTAAAAAGAGGGAAGTCACTTAAAATATATATTAATTTATGCTACAAACAAATCTCCAATTCAACTTAGCACATGTCAACTAAACACTCACTAAGATGGAGAAAGAACAGTAACTAACCCAGTCTTTGCCCTAATGGTTTTCAATCTTACAGTCTAGAAACGTGTGAGATCCATTTGCCAGTCATCAGCTCTGGCTTTACTTCCTGTGATAAAAAGGGTTTCTCTCTCTCTCTCTCTCTCTCTCTCTCTCTCTCTCTCTCTCTCTCTCTCTCTCTCTCTCTTCCTCCTTTCCCCTCCCTTTCTCTCTCTCTCTTTCCTCTCTTTCCCCCTCCCTCTCTCTCCCTCTCCCCACCTCCCTCCCTCCCCCTCTCTCTTTCTCTCTCCATTTTTAAGCACACAAATGCACATAAACAGGTGTTCACAGAAACATATAAACTGTTCCAGTGGTGTCTTGATGGCCAGCATCATATCAAGTGATGTAAGTATGTTATCTGATCCTCATAAGTATAAAAAGCTTGTTTTACAGATGAGGGAAGAGAATCAGAGAAGAAAATGTACAGAGGCAGTTAATGTGTGGGAAAGTCAAGGATGAGGGGTTGGGAGCACAGCACAGTGGCTACCTAGCTGTCTTGATAACCTGTGTTCCATCTCTGGCAATAAAGGAGAAAAAACAAGCAAACAAGGCAGGAACTAGCTCACTCCGAGGCCTGTGTTCGATCACAACTTTCCCAAAAGCATCAGAATTCTATATTACTTTCTAATACTTAACGATTCCTAAGGGCCACGTAAAATGCTTTATGCTAAACGCTGACAGCTTGGAATCTACACAGCAATGCCAAGAGTAGATAATCTCAGTAACATTTTCTCAGTCATGTAAAGTACGGTTCAGAAATGCTGAGGACTGGGCTCAAGGTTCTATGACTCAAATAATGAAGCCAATGTCAATACTTTGAAGTTTGTTTTCTTTTCTGAAGGAAAGAGGGAATACTAAGTCTCAAAAAGTGTTACCCTCTCCTGGTCCATCAGTCCTTCTGAAAGCAGTTAGTAGAAACAGTCAGGGTTACCTCCTTCATTGTCCACCCACCCAACCTTGTAACAGCAACATGGGTACAGCACCTCTTGACTTACCACAGAGGGTTTTCCTGATCATGTACTGCAAGCACTCAACTTAAATCAAAGGCAACTTATATATCACTAGTTAAGAAAAAACAGAAAATTATCCTGCTCTTTATCAATGGGTTACAGGTTACTATTGCTGAAATTCAAGAAACAAAGTCCTATTTGTCCATGATCAGAACAAGGCCAAGCCACCAATACTGCCCCTGCCCTGTTTTTATTCCTTCTTACATGACTGTACTTATTTAATTATTAACTAGAAATCAAATAAAGGAAACAGAAAAATGCTAAATCACAGAATTTCACACAGTTTCTGACTCCATTGAAGGCACTTGATGGGTAAATCTCAATGGTAAGTCATTACCAGGGTATCCCACATTTTCTAACTAAATTATTTACTTCCTTCCACATAAATGTGCTCTCACTTATATTGTTGTAAATTATTTACATCTAAAATGTTGAATCATGAAACTGAGGTTACTGATGGTAGAGAAATGAAACCCACAGCCCCTGATGCTTCCTGCGTCATCCTGTCCCCTTGCCTAGAGAGCTTCAGACCTATGTCTAACAGCTCTGGCCTTGAGTCCCACTTTGGAAAGTTGAAGTGACTGCTTTTTCACTGAGTTTTCTTGGTGGACATGAGATATAGAGGCAAATGTATAGGTCGGAAAACACCTTACTCACACGAATAATTAATTAATTAATGAAACCAACAAAAAATAAACACACAGACACACACACACACAAGCACAAACACACACATAGTGCTATGTCACTTTAGCAAATGACTAATTTACTTTATTCTCTGTACACACATACCTCCTTGTAACATTTTCATAATGGAGTAAGGAGGTTTTGTATCTATTCCATCCTACCAGATGTGTGCTTCCTTTGTACAACACTGCTGACGTACTTTAGTGAGAGTAATCGAGGCAAACATTACCAAATTATCAGGATCACACAGCAAAGCATTTCTCACTTACAAAGTAAACCAATAATTTCATCCAGTGTGAAATAACATAATTCCTGTTGATCAGTCTAGGGAACATCTTCGCAAGCTTATTTACAGTGTATGAAACTGACAGACCTTCAACGCATAGACACAGCCAGTCTCTCCACAAGCTTCTCACGACGTCTGATTCTGCAGATACTGCAATCATCAATTTTAAATTTTCGAAAGATATACTTTTTGATATACTAACATATACTTTGTTTGATATAGACAAAAAAACCTGCAAGGTCTAGAAAATAAAGCTTAATAAAAGCAGTAATTTTTACTGGTAATAAGCATAATGGAACTGCAAAAATTAGAATCTGGTCAGTGAATATAATTTATACACATACGTCATTATATTTATCAATTGAGATTATATAGTACATTAAATCCTACTGACAACATACAGCCAAAAGAGAATGTGAATAATGGCAAAAACTATGTATGTATACAGGGAAAATATTCTAGACAGAATTTATAATGCTCCATAAGCAGAAACACTTAGACACTGTCTATAAGGATACCTATTATTGATGTATGGTAGTGACCATGGGGCAAAACTTGTAAATAACCTCACAAGCCATTTTCTTCGCCAGCGATACAGCAATCTAGTTTCCCGTAAGCGTCTCAACTATTACTGAAAAATAGCCTCCTGGCATTTACAAAGCAGTTGACTTCATACTTTAGTCCATGCATATATAATTAGAGAGTTATATTTAAAATCAATATGCAATCCTTCAAAAGACATTATGCTTTTAAAACCTTAACTTTAAATTGATTTTTAACTATTTTATGTGCTTTGGAATTAGCATGTAATTCAGCCCGAGACACTCTGAGATGGTGTCAGTTGTTATATAAATGTGCTTAAGTTTATCACTGTGGCACTGCGGGGCTAGCGCTCCGACAACTTTTAACACTACCATTAATTTCACACTGAAAATAGAAGCATACCTTCACTTTGGTCTAATAAAAAAAAAGCCAGATTTTGATAATACCATGGTTTGGTAATACCATGGTTTGGTTCATTTTAGCTTGGGGACCAGATCAGAGGACGAGTATGTAAAAAGCTACATACTAGTTATGCAATAATTTTTCAAGAGGGCTCAGTTCAAAGATTATGCCAAATTGTAACTATGTTTTTAGGAAAGGAAGTAATTTTCTTTGCAAAACATTTTAGCTGAGTGTGGCCGTGCACACTTGCAAAACCCAACACAAAGTAGAGGAAGACAAGAAGAATGGGGGGGGGCCTGGACAACATAGCAGAACCATGTTTCAAAATATTTTTCTAACTGAGCCTAAGCCTTTTTAAACCCAGGACATAAATAGATATACACATACACCAACATATGTGCTCATATGGATATGTACATTGCATATACATATATGTGCACACACACACACATATATGCACATTGCACACATATATGTGCACACACATATTCAGCTTTCGTAAGAATCCAACAAAAACTGACTGTTGGTCACTGAGTCACAGCTGGCCCCTCTGCCACTCCTGCTAACAAAATCTAGCTCAGGAAGGCAGAGTTTTTTAATGATCTCTACCAAAAATTATGAGTATTGTGTAAGTAACTACTCCTTTTCCCTATGGTGTTAACAAAATTCTCACTGCCATGTCATTTTGTTTATGGATCATCTCTCCTTTACTGCAACTGCTGCCATTCACCCAGCCTTGTTTTAAGAAGTAGACATTAACTCCTTAGGAAACTCAACGGCTTTAATAAGAAACGACTGGACATCTGCTTTCACAGCCTTAAAGTCAGTCCCAAGGGAAAAATTAGCATGGTTTCTCTAAAAATGTTTGTTAGGGATCTAAGTGGAAGTGCAGATTGCAATCAGTATTTAAGCAACGAGAGTCCACTGCCCTTTAAAATGTGACAGTCTCTGGTGACATTTTAATACTATCATCCTTTAACTCCAGGCTCAAAATTTATTCTAGAACACTCAACTCAATTTGGTCCATTTTAAATGGAACTTTGTTATATTTTAAAAAATGGCCACTGGGATGGTTAGATACATTCCAAGACAGTATGTTACCTGCCTAATGACTCTGCACCTTTAAACTCATTGAAAACCAAGCAGTCTGAAATGAGCATGTGGATATGCACCTGCTGTACTGACATCTTGCTGTGGCCTAGCTGATCTTTCCTAAGAGGTAGAAAAGAAAGGTCTGCAGTGACCCTCCAGTCGATAGAATGTAAAATAGGAGAGTATGAAATGTGTTTTGTGAAGCAGAACTTTATGTCAGGTTAAAGCTAGACACATCTCCTCCACCGAGTCTAAGCTCGTCAATTGTGCACCTAAAATTTTATGGAGAAGGATACTGCTTGATGCAGTCCACCAGCGGTCCATAACAGCAGTCATTCACGATGCACTGTGGACAAATAAGAGAGGGGTGTGACAGGCTGGGGTGACTACAAACCCCACCACAGTGAGTATTCTAAAAACAGTCATTACTCTCCCAACCCTACCACCACCCAAAAGAAAGCTATCAAAAGCTATTCAGATTTAATCACAGAAAACAAAAATTACATGCTTCTTTATTTACCATAAAAGCAAGCTATTAAAAAGTAAAATGTTCTTCTCAAAAACATTGCATTGCCATTTATGGTGCGCCCTGACCTCACTGATAGTTTATGATGACAGTCATTAAATGAGGTTTAGCGTCCTCTACTCGGTTAGGCAGATAACAGCATTGCCACGGAAAGCAGCTGTGATTAATACCTGATAGACCTGGTTTGCTAGAACTCCATCAGGAATCTGAGAAGGGTCCCGTAGCATACTGTTTATAACAGACTTGGAGGCTGTAGAAGGAAAAGAGATGAACTATTAGCAGACAGTCAACACACTTTTAATATGACAGGAGAAGTGACGTATACCTTTGTGCACACAGATCCTGAAAAGGAAAACAGGAGTGATAACGATCATTTTCCTGAGATTTTCATCGAAGAGAAGCTTTTAATTAGATCATTTTTGCCAAGTATTTGTAAACTACATTGCCAGATTTGACAGTGACCTGATTTCTTCCGAGGTAAATTAACAAGTCTAGACCTAAAGCATATGTCTATTTGCAGACATATCATCTTTGGAAAAGCCAACTTTGGGGGAGGGGGAAACGCAAGAAAAATAACCACAAAAGATTTAACTGTTACAGGTAGAGATCTTATTCCTAAGCACCTGTACGTACACAGTTTAGCTAAGACAGCTAGACTTATAGGCTTTAATAATGCCAAGAAAATCATCACCTGCCACTAGTTATGGCCATTCCACAGGTGAGGAATACAGGTAAGACTGGATGATAACTGTAGGAATCGGAAATGAGAAAAGTGTGGGGAGTGAGAGGGTTCGCACGCATGCACTTGTGCGTGTGCGTGTGTGCACTGTTGTTTTCTTGTAGCCACTATTTCCAGGACCCCTGAAAAAGACTATATTCTATGGATGCTCAATTTCTGTACATGAAACACTACAATATATATAATTCTATATAATGTACACCCATGATCTGACATACACTGTCTCTTGACTGGTTGTAATCTAACTCAATACAAATGGCATGCAAATCATTGTTATACTGTCTTTGGTTAATTAGAAAAGTCTGTATATGTTGAACACAGATACAATTTTTGCCCGTGCCTTTCCCATCAGTAGTTGGCAGAGTCCTATGCATGAAACTTTAGATAACAGCAGATCTACCATGGGTGTTTGAGAGAGCATGTTGGACAGGAAGTAGATATATTTTATAAAATAAAATTTCTACCTGAAATGTCTTATACACCTACAAATTAGTCTGAAATCCCAAGGACTACCACATTAGAAGAAAGGCAATAGGACAAACATCAAGAGAAGGTGTAGGTGAGGTACTAAGCATTGAAAATCTAGGTAGGACACCCTGGTCCTGCTTTGTTCCTGGTGGAAATCAACTCTGTCAAAAATATCCTATGGAATCAACCGAAAATATTTAGCAAAATGGCTTAGAGAATGACCCATGTAGGGTCTGCTTGAGCGCCTCTTGTACAATTATCTAGTTAAGAAAGTCAGTGAAGGGAATAGCTGGGTACCATTTTTGGTACTTGGATAATTTTAAGCTTAGTTCTTATTATCAAGATCTTTACCAGCTTCAGTTGCCTTGGGATACTGACAGAAATGAGACATGCTTGTAAACACTGTGGAAAGAAATAAGAAGATGGCATCTTCAGTGTAAAATTGATTCTAAAAAAATCATTTTAATCATTGCCTATGAAACTTATATGACTAAATGCTTACAACATCACTGATACATGTAACAGAAATTTGTAAACATATGTTTGCGCTACACAGGGAAAGCCCATATGGAATCTCAAAAGAGCATCACCCAGTTACCTTATGCAGGCCTCTCTTGCAACTAGTTCTGAAAACTAGCAAGCAGTGTGGTCCCTTGCATTCACTGACTTCATCTGTAGGAAGCAATACTATTTGAGTTGACTATTCTAAACAATTCTCAGGGAGTCTCTTGAGAAAACAGCTGCCACATCATTTTGTTAAAGTTCAAGTAGTAGTCTGAACCAAGACTTACACATTCTCTGTGTTTTATAAACTTGGGTTGTCCTCAATTATTTTTGACAGAAATTACCATGAATAAGTGGTATGGATACTGAGATCATGAGGCAGTAACCCATCACCTTACTTAGGAACAGATGATGTGGGAACAGGACCAGGGAGACAATAATGTGCCTGGTAAACCTGCCTACTTTCTTTAGCACAGTTCTGAAGTTTAGCCAGATGGTGGAGATCAAAGCAGTTGTTCACATGTGTGGTTGCCTTCTCTGAGGATAAGTCCTTTGGTCTGCCACTCATTCACAGATGGTAATGGCACACTCGCCCTTCTACGTAACCCAGGAAAACAGCAGCCTTCTCTGTGCACACCTGGTCATGGGGTGCAAAGGTGCTGCAATGCAAACTCATGCCCATGTGAAGAAAACATTATTTATAGACAAGTGTGACCCAAAGTTCTAGCTACTGGAAAATCACTGACCTCTGAACAAATTACATGCAAATCTGTTCAAATAACTTTAAAAAGCTCTTTTTCAATAAGAGAGTCAATGCCCCAAGAGCTGAGAACAGTATGTCACCTATTTTGAGGGGGAAAGGGGGAAAATGACAAATTAGGAAGTGATGGTTTTTATTTCCTGATAATATAAACATTTGAATGGTGCTTCTTGGGATTCAGTACCATAGTCATAAGCTTTTTAAAAACATCATTTGAGGGGAGATGCTTGCCTTTCGAGTCTTAGGACCAGAGTTCAGAGCCTTAGAATAAATGTAAATGCCAAATGTGGGTATGCTGGCTTTCTTTTACAGAGTCAGAAGGCAGAGACAGCAGACCCTCAGAGTAAACTGGCAAATAAGATTAGCCATAAACTATATCGATGAGCTCTTGGTTTGGTTAAGAGATCCTCTGAACAAGGTGGAAACACAACTGAGGATGATCTCCAACACCAATTTCAGGCCTCCACATGTATGCATGCTCACACACATGCACACATGTGCATATACACATACACACACACACACACACACACACGAAAATAAAAGAAAAAAAAGTCATTTGAATATGTTGAAGAAAACATTACTTAAAACAAAGACATTAGTTGTTTTAAGTAGTACAACTGAGTTGTACTAATTGAGACTGGGCAACCCAACCCCTAAACCTAAGGTTCAGGAAACACTGTGGAAGTGGTGCTGGGAAGAGTTAGATAAACAGGATGCCTGCTGTGAGGTTACACATCACATCTCAGCTATATGGCTGCCTAAAGAAGACCTACATAAATAGCCATACAAGTCAGCATGGACCAGTGAAATTTCACAAGGCCCCGCTCCTAGGTGAAGAGCTACAGGCAGTCAATGATTTCTGAGAAAAGAAAAATAAACATTTTCTACAGGAATGAGCCCCCACTCCCCATAGGTTTTTCTAATTCCAAGTAGTTGGCCCTAACTACATGTACATAGGCGCAGTACTAACTGCACAGTGAGGGCCTCCAGTTTTCCAACCATGGAGACAGTGGGCCTATTTTCCCACTCTGATTCTTGTACTACAAAAGATAGATTTCTTCTTTTTTCAGGGAAGGCACAAAATAAGCCATTCAAGTCACTTGGAGCCATTGCCACATGACAAGCAGAAGGCAGGCACTGGATAAAGCGTGTCACAAGAGATGGTAGCAGTGTTTCAACCGAGACAGAATGGAACTTACTAACAGAAGGAACTAATCGAGTAGAATAAATAGCCACGGAGCTGCTGTGTGATTCATGTATTACATATCTTTTCTTCAAAAGTTGCTTTAAGGTTCCTGACATGAAGGCTATGGAGGTCTCAAACTCCATCTTCATGGGGATGAACCCGTCAGTGTCTCTCCTGGAAAACTTTAACTTGGTCTGTGGCCTTAGAAGCCACTCTCCTTTGCAGCTGGGGCTTTAGCCCATCAATTTCCTCACTATGTACAAGTGATCCCGAAAGTAGATGGGTATCAAATGATAACTTGACTCCTACAGGACAAATTCAAGTCTGCTCTCTGCCTAGCAAGCAATCAAGTTAGAAACTGAATAACTGTTGAATAGGAAAGTAGCAATGTAAGGACAAAAGGAAGTCATATCCAAAGACTGCTCCTGATGGTCAGAACCTTGTCTTTGGCAGCTTGCAGCTTCAGGACCACTGTACACCATCAGCTGGGGTACACCAAGCATGTGGATGCCTAATTCTTGAGCATCTGGCTAGGCTATGATTTTGTATGATTCCTCCCCAAGCTTCTACATACAGACTTGAAAATTACACTTTTTTTCTCATCTTTCCCTTGGCCCAAACTTTGAAACCTGGTTTGATTCTTCTCTCGTTTGTTCAAGCCCTTTTTGTTTTTATAACTTTCATGTCTTCTTCATAACTTAGACTAGAAAGGACTCCTATTGCCTACCAATCTTTTGGCAACTGCTTAATTGCTATTTTATCACCTGTTTAAAAGAGATTGACCAGAATGCTACAATTTAAAATCACTCCTCAGATCAAAAAATTAAAAGAAAAAGAAATTTTTTGACTAATATAGTTGCTGCTGCTGGCTTCAAATATCTGAGGACACATAATGGTTAACAGTCTCAACAAGATTTCAAATCTCCTAAAAGACAAATTATTGTACATTTCTGTGAGGAAATTTCTAGACAGGGTTAACTGAGGTAAACTCTGCCCTAAATATGGATGGCATCATCCCTTGTGCTGGGATCCCAGCTAATCATAGAGCAGAAAGCAGACGGAACATTCATCTTTGTCTCTGGGTCAGGACTGTAGATACGATGACCAGCTGCCTCATGTTCCTGTTGCCAAGACCTCTCGGCCATAATGAACGGCCAGCCCCCTTGAGCTCCAGTTAACATTTCTTTCTCTCTTAATCTGCTTTCGTTAGGTATTTTGCCACAGCAATGAGAAAAATAATGAATACAGGATTTTTATATATAGGAAGAATCAGTGTCATCATAAATTGCCAGAAGAGTCTCTCAAGTTTATTGTTACTTGTAAAGCCACAAGTTTTCAGATTTTTAAGCTCAGCATTATGTTGTCCTAAATTACTGAATTTGATGCTAATTCACTTTTTAAAACTTAAAATGTTTAAAAGTTTTGTCGCCTTCATCCTGCTTCCATGCATTCTAACTACGCTATCCTTCTACCCTCTTATGTCTCCGTTCTCTCTCTATCAACTGCACCCCAGTCTCCAGCCTAGATGTATGACTTTTAGTCTTAGTGACCCATCTGTGTGGCCACTGAATTAGGACTATTCATCGGAGT